ATTGTTGCGCCAACCATCTGGGTATATGCTACCTATATTCATCCTCCCCACACACCTGGGACAATGACTAGTTTGGCAGCTTGAATGTATGTAAGCCCTCCAGGGCCCATCAGTCCACATGTAGCGCTCAAGGGAWGCATGTGACTTGTGCCATAATTGAGTCAGCCTGGAACAAAAAAAAAAAAAAGAAAGAAACAGAAATCAGTCTACTGATGGCACCACTCAGTAGCCAGCAGGAGAGCTCTGTGCTGTAAAGGCTGGCATCAAAAAGAATTGTACCTGTTTTGTTTATTAAAAGTGCAGTTTTTCTTTTTAACTTCATAAAGCATGGGGTCCTGGAGGCAAAGGCGAAGACAGCTGACCAGAATGATGAGAGCACCCTGGTGAGATTGTAAGGTATCATGGTGAGAGATTAAAGTGGCAATAGAGAAAATAGATAATGGAGGTTTCAGAGAACAATTTGGTAAAAAAGAGGAGCCAAATCCCCCCTCTTAGTTGAAGTTGCTCTTTTTTCTGGGGACTCTCCCTGAGGAAGATTCAAGTTTCACCCTGTTCTATATGACTAAAGGCACTTTACTTTMTTTGTCCAGCTCTTTTACCACATGTGACAAACAGCATGAATCTTTTGTTCCAACTGCTCATTGACATTATGTATTATGCATTATGTATATGAGACAGAAGATTGTGCCACTGAACGTATAGGATTTATTCATGGGTTAGTATTTACTTTAACATATTACTRTCACACAACATAGGGAAATGTCATTTATATACTGTGGACCATCCTTGCCCACTGACCCTTTTGTAATATAAAAGGCATCACAAGGCCTAAGCCTGAGTGTAAATGTTACTTTTTGTTGAGAAGCACAGAGCAGATACACACTGATGTTGCATTTGGGAACAAGGGGACTGGTTTTATAGCAGGGCTTGTGGTGATGTCTGGCAACAGATGTGGGCAGTAGATCCCTTGGGCTTGAGAAATTAAACTTTCATGGATAAGACTTGCTTTAACATATTTTGTGGAAGCTCATTTGGTYTCAGACCTGAGATATTCATCCAGATAATTACCTGGTCTTGTGCTGTGTTTCCTAAAGTGAGAGTTTAGACATTTTSAAGTGGGGTTTTGTGGAGTAGTGGATTTGGAATATGATTTATAATCTGTTGCTGCACTTTCTGTGTGAAACAAGTATTGCACAACAGAACATGTTGATCCCAGTCTGCGGGRCTATCTGAGGAAAACAATACTATTGTTGGTGCAAAAGAATCCTAACATACATTTTTCTTGAACTRTTATGTCACTTTTGAGGTTTTAGTTGTTTTATATGGCTAAAGTCAACACGGGTTTAGGCTTAAGTATGGAAAGTCTTTAGATAAAACAAAGCAAAAAAAAAAAAAGAATAAGTAAGTAAGTGTTCTTTGTTGAAAATGTTTTGTCTCTTCTCCATGAGACTTCTTCAGTCTGAGGAATTACAGGAAAGCTCAGTCTTATGAGCAGCTCAGTATGACTCAGCTCTCTGCTAACAATAGGTAACAGTCAGAGCGTTAGTGATCGATTTTTAGGCTTAAGATCCACTTTTGCATGTGAACAAACAGTTTTGATTGCCATTGTTAAACTTGTTTGTATACCATGTCAAAGTACTGCTCATAAGGCTGAGCTTAACTGTAACTCCTCAAACTGAAAATATTATTA